GGGAGAAGCAGACTCCCCGCTGAGCAGGGAGCCCGATGCGGGGCTCGATCCCAGGACTGAGCTCATGACCTGAGCCGAAGGCAGACTCTTAACTGACTGAGCCACCCAGGCGCCCCTACATATAATTATTATGACATCTGTTCATACTTCTCTTCCCATCCCCTCCTCTGACCTTGGATGAAGTTGATGAACATCTCGAGGTCTCGGATCTGAGTTTTCAACTGTTCAACCAACTGTTCTTTCACTCGGGCTGGGTTGACAATCTGAGCCACAGCTGCATCCACACGCTGCCGGAGCTCCTCGGTGGACAGTGAACTGATGTCCTCATTCAGATTCATGTCCAGTTTCTTTATTAATTCATCTATGATCACCTATCAAGACCACAAGCAATGAGCACACCCTTTGGAATTTTCAGGGAGAAGGTTAGGAAGAAGGAGAATATTTGCTAGTATGTACCTTTAAATGAAAATCAAAGACAGACCGACCTCCCAAATTTGTGAGAGAAAACGATGCACCTGCCGATCAAGGTGAGAGTACAGAGCTACTTTCTCCCATAGTAACAAGGGCCCTTGGTTCCTCTCGGACAGAAATGGCTCCTCTCAACTGCAAATTTTCTACGAGGCCAGGCAACTTTCAGGAGAACAACAGTACGAATAATCCAAAGTGGCTGATGATCCAAAAAGCCCCTTAGTTAGCTTCCCCCAACGCCTCCACGAGAACAAACGCTGACTTCCCTTGGTGCTCAGTCCTCTTTCTCACTCTTGCCTCACTCTAGGCAACTAAACAAAAACCTCTGCTCCACATCAAAGTGTGTTACAGTCAAAATACCCTAGTGACAATATCTGGAACAGTTTGCAATCCAGATAATGTCACTCCAGCTCAGTCAGAGAAACAGCTACATCACAGTGAGAGACGGACATGTTCGTAGGGGAGACTGTAGCTGTATTTTGCCAGCAGGTTACCTGTCTACCCAGGTGTTGCTTAAATAAATATGGCGTTAAAGCCAGTCTGGATTCCTGGAATATTTATCAACTGGTGGTGGGGAAAAAAGCCGATTTACATCGTAGGATGTGTCTAAACAGAACCGTTTTAACGATCAAATGAAAAATTACTATTATTATAATATGTTATTATTACTAATAACCACGGAAAGAAAGAGCTCAAAGGCTCTGGAACTTGCGTTTCCATGTGTGAATAAAGACGTGTCCGTTTCTCTTTGATATGGGCCAGCAAAGGGATTCTCAGTAAGGCCAAGGGCGAACACGTGGAGAAAGAACGTTCTGTGAACGCCAGCAGGAACAAGGTAACCTTAGGTAGAGGTGGAGGAGCCTCTAGTCTCTGCTCACCCGCTGTCTTTCCAAGACCACGGACTGCGGCAGGGAGTCGTAATTACCCTCTTGATAAGCAAACGTTTCCAGGTCATCTAGCTGGGTTTTGAGCTGTAGTATAAGTTCCTTCTGCTTCTCCCTTTGGGCTTCCAGACGTTCCCGTTTTTCTTGTTCACTCTAAGACAAGAAAATACTTAGGTCTGTTTCACAGGAAAAGGAAAAATCAGGGCACAATAGGAAGCCTCTCAAGCTAATAATGACTAGTGAAACATAAAATGTTTCCAAATAATCCCAATGAAATACAGAATTCATAAGCTAGGTTCAAAAATGAGAATAAAGATTTCATCCAGGGCTATTAAATGTGTTTTCTTTAAGAAGGTATTTGTCCCTTATTGGAAATAGAATATGAATACAATGGAGCCTTTTGTTAAGATCGCTTCCCCCCCCCACAAAGGTCTAGTTAGGATTGAGACAACTTATCTTAGCCAAGACAGCCTCCCAGGAACTAAACATGCCATCCTCCACAGCCAATTACCACAGATCAACTCCTGAATACTTTCTGCAGCCAAATTTTGCAAGAGAATCTAGAGATAAGGGTGTAGAGAAAGGATTTATAACTCATAACCAGTTTTCTTAAGGTTCAAAACCCCTCCAAATGTATTACAGACTTCTGCAAAATCAAAAGAATTAAAGCAGATGCCTGGGGCAGTGAAAAAAAAACAAACAAACCAAAAAACCCAAAAGCCAAGTAATAGGAGTGGGAAGGTCACCATGTTTAAAAAAAAGGGGGGGGGTTGCCTGGGTGGCTCAGTCGTTAAGCGTCTGCCTTCGGCTCAGGGATCGAGCCCTGCGTCAGGCTCCCTGCTCGGCGGGAAGCCTGCTTCTCCCTCTCCCACTCCCCCTGCTTGTGTTCCCTCTCTCGCTGTGTCTCTCTCTGTCAAATAAAATCTTAAAAAAAAAAACAAAAAACAAAAAACAAAACCTCTGGTAAGTTTCCCCCACCAGTGACTCCTTTCTCCACTGTTGGCCATCAGGTAGTTTCTGCATTTAAATGATTAAAAACCCTTCACGGTGGTAAAGTCTTGCCAATGTATTCTCAAATACTAGTTCTTCCTTAACTTTCTTGAGTGCCAGAAACAAAAAGCAAAACTAGCACGTCATGTGCAGGTGTAAGGCTGCATTTTAAACCAGCAATCTATAGAATATTAACTTTAACTTTCAAGTGGTACTTACCAAGCCCTCCAGAAGATATGAGAGAGAATAAATGAAAAACAACAAATTAACTTTTTGTTCAAGCTATTTAAAAAGCAATCCTCTTGCTTTAGCCTTACTCAACATGAAAGCAAGCCTTTTCTCGGGATACGTCCTCTCCAAACCTGAGTGTTGCGGTTTCTTAGAAACCTACTGTGGGAGGGCCTAACTATCCTTCAGGTTTCCTAGATCTCCCTAGGCAAAGCTAACCGTTTCTCGATCTGTATTGTGTACACACTTCTCTAGCTCATGCCACATTGCAATTCTTTGTTGAGGATTCTGTCCCTCAGCCAATGAACTCCTTTAGGGCAAACGCTTTGACTTTGTACCCCCAATGCCTAGCACCATGTCTGGCACAGGGTAAGCTCTCAAAACACATTTGCTGTAAGCTACTGAACTAAAACAGGTACAAAACAACACATTCCAAATAATGAACTCTGACTAGAAGAAGCTGTCTAGCCAGCGCAAGGAGAAAGAATGGGGGAAGACTGTATGTGGAGAGAAGGGTGGAACAGTAAACACAGGACTGCACTGGAAACATTCCGGATTAAAATGAGCAAGTCAATATCTGCTACTGATAAGTCTTCTTGGTTAAAACCAATTTAAGTGGGAAGAAAGGCATAAATGGGTTGTAACTTGAAGAATGAAAAGGTGGAGGAGACAGCAAGTCTCTTCAACACCTCCAACAAGCTATCTGCAACTGTGCACTTCCAGAGAGTCAAAGACTGCAAGGAAATGTTCTCTTGGCATGGCATACAGACTCTCATTACTCACTGGAGGCTAACTGAATGCATCTTGTCACAGTAAAGGGGCTTCATTTATAATATCTAGTTATTGGGCAGGATGGGCAAGGAGGTTTAAAATATCAGCTTTAGGAAATGCATTAATCAGGAGTTGTATTTCTTTCAATTACTAAGTGATCCTGCCGTTCACCAAAGCTCCCACTCACACGAAAATCTAAATATTAAAGACGTTTCCTAGATTCCAGGAAGGCAGGTACAGGCAGTAAATCTAAGTTTCCATGGATTCCAAATCACTTACGCTTCATCAGCCAATGTTCTCAAGGCCAGGTCGGGGGACTTGTCAGCAAATGTCCTCGGGTCTTAGGTACATTATGAGACAATGGCAAGGTGAGCGGGAGCAGCACTGCTTTGGTTGGTTGCTGTTCCCCTCAGAACACTCTCTGCTCACCACTCTTCTGTCCCGCACGTCACCACACCTGCATCTCTTTCCACACTTTAGATAGACACCCCTCACCATCAGGTTCCCAGGCCTCTCTGTCCTCCTGCCCTTCAGCAGGACTGGCACACCTGTCTCACCTCCTCGTCTCGGACGCGCGTAGTACTCACCCACATCGGCCGGCTTCTTACCACTGCTACCTCCGTCCCGGTCAGCATCGCCACCCACCCAACCCCCTATTCCCATGTCCTTCGGGACCCGGCCCCAGCTGCTCACCTGGTTCTCGCCCCGCAATCGTGGTCGGTCCCCTGGCAGCCCATCGCCATCGTCGCTGGCGGGGTCCTCGGGCCCCCCGTAACCCAGGACGTGCGGGCAACCGCGGAACGCGAAGTCCTCGAGCTCGCGCAGGAGGCGCTGCTGCTCCGCGGGCGCTCCGCGCACCACCTGGCGCAGGCGGAACTGCACTTGCGCGAAGTGCGAGGACAGCGCGAGCAGCGCCGAGTCCAGCCGCCGCCGCTCGGCCCGCAGCCGCCTCAGCGTCCGGCCAGGCGAGTCCGGAGGGGAGCCCGGGGCCGCGCCGGGCTCCTCGGCCGCCGCCTCTTCCGAGAACGCGGCCGTCCCAGACCCGGCCTCCGCCACTGCCCCCACCGGGGCCCAGCGCACCGCCTCGCACGGTGGCAGCGACTCCTCTTCCTCCTCCTCTTCGTCCTTCGCCTTTGGACCAACAGCTGCCACCGCCGTTACCGGCTCCGCAGCCTCTTCGACAGCCGCCATCTTCCCGGAAACGCCGCCGCACGTCAGCCGCGCCCCCTCACTGCCATGGCAACGGCGCGCTGTTCGGGAAACCCGAAGGAGCGGGTGGGCGGGGCTTATACGACAAACAGTTCACAGTCACGCGGGGCGGGCCTTCCCAGGGGGTTTAATTCGGGCCAATAATTTTTTATTGAGCGCCTACTGTGAATCAGGCGCTGAATGCACGAAGCGTTGGAGAAACGGATGAATGAAGTCAGGGACAAGTCATTCGTTGTGCATCTAGTGTGGACCTTGTCCTGGTTCCCCGCGGGTGGGTCGTCTATTCCTAATCTGTACATTTCTGGAGACCCGGAGATGTGAAGGGCTGTCGGGATTATGCTCTTTCAGAGTCTCTCCGGAGTGCAGATCCCTTGGCGGTGGGGGCCACGTTCCCCCTTCCTCTAAAGCTTTCCCCAACCATATAAGGAGAGGCAGCTGCTGGGGGCGTTCCCAGGAGCTAAAGATAGCAGTCCCCGGCTCGGAGTCCAAGTGCCACCGGGTAGCGGGGAGCCGCCATGGCAAGGTGAGTGTTTCCGGCCGCCCTTTTCCTTGGAGATTCCTTGTTCCACGTTTTCTGGGCGCTCCTGCGAGTTCCCATGGAAACTCCAGAGTCCAGGTCTCTGTAAATTTGGGGTGGTGAGGAATGTTCTCCATAACCCCCTCCTTCTCAACTCTCGCACTCTGGATTCTCCCCAGGTTCACCCTCACCTCACCACACACCCCCGCTGCCATCACTCCTCTTTCACCCCCTTCTGTCTCATTTAGCTCCACTTTGACAGAGCCGTAGCATAAAACGTCCCTAAATTTTCCCTTCCTTCCACCTTTCCCAAATGCCCTCAGTCTTCCCTCTCCCACCCCTATGAAGCCCCACCGCTACTCCTCTGCAGGCAGCATGCCCGGACGCTATGGTACGACAGGCCCAAGTACGTGTTCATGGAGTTTTGTGTTGAGGACAGCACTGATGTCCATGTGCTCATCGAAGACCACCGTATTGTGTTCAGGTAACAGCCCTCCTCTCTGAAGGTCCTGGTTTCCAGGAACCTTTCCCTTCTCCTAATGCCCCCATGCTCAGCCTCCCGCATTTCCTCAGCTCCGTTGTCTCCTCAGCTGCAAGAATGCGGATGGAGTGGAGTTGTACAATGAGATAGAATTCTATGCTAAGGTGAACTCCAAGGTAACTGTGGGGTGGGACAGTCAGGTCTGGATGGGAAGGCTGCCTGGAAAATTGGAGATTCATTCTAAACCTCACATCCTAAGAATGAGGCTCTCTATCCGGCAGGACTCCCAGGATAAGCGCTCTGCTCGCTCCATTACTTGCTTTGTGAGGAAATGGAAGGAGAAGGTAGCCTGGCCCCGACTCACTAAAGAGGATATCAAGGTAGGTGTGTGGGGGAATGGTCTGCTGTCTCTCCTGTGCTATGTCTGCACCTGGGGACATAAGTCAGGGATTCACCCTTGGCTCCTTTCTCACCAACATTCAATCATTCACAAAGTCCCATTTGACTTCCTAAATATTCTTGAATCTATTATTTCATCTTTTCCCAATTCAGCCCTCATCCATCACTGGGTGACGTTTATTACATATTTTTAGACCTACCCTCAGTCCATCCTTTGCATTGCTCCCAGCATGGTCTGTCTAAAACACCCATTTGACCCTGTTACTCTTCCACCTAAGACCCTCCAGTGGCTTCTTCCTTGCTAAAAGTTGAAAATTGGCTATCTCCTGGCTGATCTGGCTCTTGAATTTGTTTTTGTAGTCTTTACAGTATTTACAAATTATTTTGATTGGTTATTGACATTTAGTTTTCATTAGTTGCTGACCTATAAAAATATGGAGAGTTCACATAAAACTCCAGATCATCAGTTTTTCTTAGAAAATGGAGACTCTGATCACACTGGTCTAAATTCTCAAATGCCAGGGGCGCCTGGCTGGCTCAGTCGGTAGAACATGGGACTCTTGATCTCAGGGCTGTGAGTTCAAGCCCCATATGCAGAGATTACTTAAAAAAAAAGAAAGAAATTCCTGAACACCTAGAGATGGAGCTTTAAATGGAGCATGTGTACCAGCACACTTTAATCATAATTAAATGAAATTAGTTCCCTAACTCTTTCAGGTATTTGAGCTTGTCACTTCCCGCCCTTTGGGTTGAAATCCAAGCACCATAGCATGACATATAAACTCATGACCTGGCTACTTTTCCCTTCTGTAGCATTATATCCCATTAGTTTCGGCCTTAAACTTCACATTCCAGCCACAGCAAATGGCCTGTAGCTCTTTGGCACACACCAGGCTATTTCTCATGAATTTACCTTTGCTCAAGCTGTGCCTTCTTCCTGGAAAGCCTCCATCATTGCTACCTGTGCCCACCTAACCTTTGCTCATCTTTTCAGTCTCTGCTACTCTAAAAAGCCTGAGTTCCTATAGTTTCTTTCTGGGTTTCCATAATATCCCCTGTGTAAGCCGTCACCATACCTTTCACACTGTATTTTAACGATTTATTTAGATTTCCCTTCCCCACTTGCTTCGTGATAGCTGGGACTATATATCAAACATTTTCATAATCCCAATGCCAAGCTCAGAGTCTGTCTTCAATAAGTAGCCATTAAATTAATGAGTGAATAACTTCCTATCTAAGCGTAGGAACTTGGAACAGGATTCCAAGGGTTTTCTCCTGACTCCAGGGAATGCAGCTTGTCTATCGTGGTGACTCCCACGATACTTTATGACACAGTTATCTTTCCAGAGGTATTACCTCTCTAGTCAGTCAGCTTCTGGAGGGCGGAATTTCTATGCTTTTCTATCTACCAAAATGCCTGGCATTGTGCTTGGCACTTAGTAGGTTCCTGGCAAATTTGTGGTTGATGATAATGGCAATCTAGAGAGGAATTAGTCAAAGAGGTGCTTTTGGGAAGACTGCACCCCCATTGACCTTCTTTTCCCCATGCATGCCCCTGTGCATGCGGCCATGCTCTTCCGCGCACTTCTGCGCTTCCTGCCCCGTGACGCTCTGTGCTTTCCTCTTGCAGCCAGTGTGGTTGTCTGTGGACTTTGATAACTGGAGGGACTGGGAAGGGGATGAAGAGGTGGAGCTGGCTCAGGTGGAACATTACGCAGAGGTAATGCCATTTTCTGCCCCTCCTGCTCATTCTCTGTGTCTCCCTGCACACATTTCTCTGGAGGACTGTCATCAGGGCTGGACACATATGGACACCCCTCAGTGGTGCTCATATTCTTTAGATGTTCTGTGCAATGTTTATTTAGTAGGATGAGAGAAATGTATACTAGTGGAACCGTATACATGCCTTCACTCACTAGTTACAGAATTTTGAGAAAGTTTGGCAAACCCTTTCCCAACTCTTCTGTAACTCTTGTTCTTTTTTCTATTTTCTGTGTGTGTGTGTGTGTGTGTGTGTGTGTGTGTTTCCTGAGCCACACAACTTCACAGAAAGCTCAAACCAGGCAGTATAAAAATTCACATCATAAATTACTAGTTCCAATTAAGTTGCACCCTGCCATACATTATTTGGTTTTAGAATTTCAGCTACTATTTATTCAAGTTGCAAAAACACTGACAGACCCTAACCCTAGATTAGTAAGGAAGATGCTCTGTGTGTGTCTATTTCCTTTTAAAAAGGGGCTCGGGGTGCCTGGCTGGCTCAGTCGGTGGAATGTGCGTCAACGTTTGATCTCAGGGCTGTGAGTTTGAGCCTCACATCAGGTGTTACTTAAAAATAAAATCTTAAAAGAAATAAAAGTAAAAATAAATGAAAAGGGGATTGATTTACTTTTCTCCAATTCATTCCAGTGATGTGTTAGGGTCTGTAAAGATGGGGCAATTGTCTGGCTGGGACCATTCTCCTGTGGCCCATCAATATACAGGTTGCTCTCCCCTTGCCTTTCTTTTCTCTTGTAATTACTTTCCTCTTTCCACTAGCTTTTGAAGAAGGTCAGCACCAAGAGACCTCCCCCTGGCATGGATGACCTGGATGTAAGTAAAGCCTACCCTTCAACCCTTCGGTTTCCTTTTAGCCCTAAAAAAATAAGATACCAGAAAGCTCTTGTCACGATCTCTAGCACACAGTAGTTCTCAGTGCCTGTCAGCCAAATTTGAATTCGACACAGGAGGTCGAATGTTCTTCTCCAAGCTGTAGAAAACTCCAGCAAGATCTTCCTCCCTCCCATCTCCCCTTTACTTCTCTATCTTAGAGTCGACCTGGCCCCCTTGTCTGTCTTTACAGCTGTCCGGAGCAGTGGCATGAGTTGAAATTCTGAAACCAAATGATGCTTGACACAGTGTTGTTTATTGAGCACCAGGGGTTGATTTTATTTCCCAAAGTATTAATAGTTCTGTGTTAGCCTGCCGGGAAGTTGTGTGATTTAGAAAATCACAAAAGAAAACTTGGAGAGCAGGAAGGAGTGAGAAGAGTTTGTGAACACAAATGTCCACGCTTTGCAGATGCTACAGGTGCTTTTGTTTTTTTTTTTTTCCTTCCCTAGGATGATTCCGACAGCACTGAAGCAACAAGTAATTAACTTCTGTACAGCAGAGCTGGGGAGGAAGCTGGGGCGTCTTCCAGTTGCTCTGAAAAGCTGGGGCCGGGGTCTTTGCCAGCTCCCCGAGATCCCGGGGTCTCTGGGATCTCTGAACCTAGAAGCTCTCTCTCTCTCTTTTCTTAAATTTATTTGAGAGAGAGCATGCACGCGAGCAGGAGGAGGGGCAGGGGGAGAGAGAATCTCCAGCAGACTCCCCGCTGAGCATGGAGCCCAAGATGGGGCTCGATACCAGGACCCTGAGATCATGACCTGAGCAGAAATCAAGAGTCGGCCGCTTCACTGACTAAGCCACCCGGGCACCCCTTTTTTTGAAGCTCTTTTTAAGGGTCCTCTTCATGTTTTATTTCTTCTTCCTAGGCACTTGAGTATGGCTGCATCAGATGGCAGGATAGGAGAGGAGTAGACTGGTGGGGCTCCTGACTTTCTACCAATTGCCTGTAATCTTTGTGTTTGGGCCAGTCATCAGGGCTCTCTTTGAGTATTCGAGCATGTGTATATATGTGGTGGAGCAAAAGCCAAAGAAGCAGCAGATAGGTTATAATAAATCTGTAAGAACTGTTCTCTGTCTCTTTCCTTCTTGCATTTCTTCCACCTGGAGGCAACCCTCTTCTACTCTATTGTTCCTCTCAAGGGGAGGGGTGGGTGTCATAGATCCTGGTCCTCACTGTTGAGATTGGAAGCAGAAAGATGTTGGGAGCAGGCTTGTAACCAAACTGGGGGATTTTCCCGTGCCCAGCTCCTATTTCTCAGACCATACCCAGCCTTTTGCTATATTGCCGCCCCTAGAACCATATATCTACTGACCCCTAGAACTAGCCAGAAACCTGCCTCAGCTTTCTGCATACTCCCAAAAATTTCTTTATACTTTCAAAGCTAATTGTTATATTAGCTGTTTACTGTTTACTCTTCTGTTTACTCTTCTGTTCATCAGCTACCCCATTCATCCGTAAACATTTTTTTTTAAAGATTTTATTTATTTGTCAGAGCACAAGCAGAGGGAGAAGAAAGCAGAAGAAGAGGGAGAAGCAGGCTCCCCGCTGAGCAGGGAGCCTGATGTGGGACTCGATCCTAGGACCCTCGGATCGTGACCTGAGCAGAAGGCAGACGCTTAACTGACTGAGCCACCCAGGCACCCCCATAAACAATTTTTGAATGCCTAATATGTACTTAAACAAATGCCATACCCAGACTTTGCCCTTGAACTCATGGTAAAGTACTGAGATTTCTTTAAAATATTGAACTTTAAAGTTTATATTGGTAATATATAGACGTAGTTAATAAAATAGTATAGAAGGGTATTTGTTAAAGATTTTTTTAAAAGATTTTTTATTTATTGACAGACAGAGACAGCGAGAGAGGGAACACAAGCAGGGGGAGTGGGAGAGGGAGAAGCAGGCTTCCTGCAGAGCAGGGAGCCTGACGCGGGGCTCGATCCCAGGACCCTGAGATCATGACCCGAGCTGAAGGCAGATGCTTAACAACTGAGCTAACCAGGAGCCTCTTGTTAAAGATTTTTTAAAAGATTTTATTTATTTATTTGAGAGAGAGCCAGCAAGCTCGCATGAAGGGGTGGGGGAGGAGAGGGAGAGGAAGAGGCAGACTCCCTGCTGAGCAGGGAGCCCAACATGGGCTCAATCCCAGGACCCCAAGTGGAAGGCCAACCGACTGAGCAATCCAGGTGCCCTGAAGGGTATAAAATTTAAAGTAGAATTTGTACTCCCTCAATAGGGGTAACCACTTTTTTTGTTTTTGTTTTTTAAATTTTATTTATTTTTTAGAGAGACAGAGAGCATAAGCAGGGCAGAGGGAGAGGGACAAGCAGACTCCCAGCTGAGCAGAAAGCCCAACGTGGGGCTCGATCCCAGGACCCTGGGATCATGACTGGAGCCCAAGGCAGACACTTAACCAACTGAGCCACCCAAGTGCCCTGGGGTAACCACTGTTAACAGTTTTTAATTTTAATTTTAATTTTTTTTAAAGATTTTATTTATTTGAGAGAGAGAGAGCATGAGAGGGGGGAGGGTCTGAGGGAGAAGCAGACTCACTGCTGAGCAGGGAGCCTGATGCGGGACCCCATCCCGGACTCCAGGATCATGACCTGAGCCGAAGGCAGTTACCCAACCAACTGAGCCACCCAGGCGCCCAACAGTTTTTAATTTTTAAAAAAGATTTTATTTAAGAGAGAAAGAGAGCAAAGCAGGGGCAGGGGCAGAGGGAGAGGGAGAGGGAGAAGCAGGCTCCTGAGCAGAGAGCCTGATGTGGGATTTAATCCCAGGACCCCGAAATCATGACCTTAACCAAAGGCAGATGCCTGAGACACCCAGGCACCCCTCTCTGATAAATTTCTATGTGTATATATGTATATACACTGTATACGTTGTAAGTTCCATTAATACTATAATACATATGAAACAAACAGTTTTGTATATTATATATAGTATAATATATATTAAAATTTAATAGACATATAAACCAATGCAGTGTGTGTACACAATTAGAATCATACTATGTACATCTTGAGCCCTGCTTTTTATTTTACTTAATATATATTGGGACTCTTTCCAAATTAGTATATGCAAATCTCTTTCATGCCTACATGGTATTCAATTGAATATATTTTCCATAATTTAACTGATTCCTTATTGAGGGACGTTTAGGTTGTTGTTGGTCTTTTTCAATTTTCAAACAATGCTGTAATGAAATTTAAAGATGTATATTTTTACATATCCGGAAAGAATAACTGTAAGATTTCTAGAAGTGGAAATGTCAGGTCAAAGAGTAGATACATTTAAACATTTTGATAGCTCTTGCTATGTTGCTCTTAGATGAACTTGAACAGCTTCCTGCTCCCACCAGTAGAGTGCCCCATTCTCCAAAACCTTTTAGATTTTGTGAAGATAAAAAATTGTACCTGATTTAATTTACTTATGTTAATTATAAGATGTTCATTGTTTATTTTTATTAGTGATTGGTATTTCTTTTAAAGTGCTCTGTATATCTTTTGCCCATTTTGCTGTTGACATTAAAAAAACTGATAATACAAAGTTGTATTTGTATCATGCTTTACAATTTACTAAGTCTATATATTATCTCATTAAAATTTTTTGAACCTCAAATCAACCTTATAATTAGGTCTTTTCTTCATAGGTGATTGAACAGGTCACAATAAGTGGCAGAGTTGGGACTTGAACTTGTATAGCGTGTGTCCCTCCTCTTACCCACAATTCTGAAAAACAGAAAGTTCTGAAAACCCACTTAAAAAAAAAAAAACCAAAAAACTGACAGCAAAACTCATTTGGCAGCAAAACCTGACGCAGAATGATGTGGAGCTACTTATAGTATTTGTTTATTCCATGCAGTGCATTTATTTGTCAGCATAAATAATGTGTTTGATGACATGATGTTGCTCCAGAGTTCCAAACGGAACGTGTTACATAACGGATGGGGTATGCTCTGCATTACTGCCTAAAATTTGAAAAGTCCTAAATTTTGAAACACCTGGAGTCTTCAAACTTCATTATTAGTTGATTTAAGAGAGCAGGAAGTTGATTTTAACATCTAATACGTTTAACGTTTTAAGGTACTGATTACAGTTTGTAACTTGTGTTAGCCTTGCTTATCTACACTGTCCAAATACGTAGCACTAGGCACCTGGGGTTATTGAGTGCATGTGACTGAGTATTAAGATGTGGCCAGTGCAAGCTGAGACGTGCTTTAAGTGCAAAATACACATCAGCTTTCGAAAATTTTGTGCGGAAACAAAATCTCACTCATTTTTACACTCGTTATTACACATTGACATAATATTCTGGATCTGTTGCTCTCAATACAACATTAGCATATGGGGCTTGCACTAATTTCTGTTGGGCAGCGCCGCCGTCTCTCCAAAACTACCACCCAGCCGAGACTGCGCGGGGCTAAAATTGAGTGCCTTGACAAGTTCAGGCCGCAAGCAGTTTTGTTTTATTTTGTCTTCTGGTTTTTTCCAAAGTCTTCACACAGTCGCTAGGCCCCCCGGAACGTCAGCAAATCGCAAATCGCAAACCGCGTTTGCAGTAAATTTGTCCAAGCCACACCCCGTCCTTTCCCCTCTCGCTTCTGCGCGGAGACGCGCCCGCGGTGAAGATTGTCCCGCGCGGCTCTCCGTCGGGCCGCGGGCGTTCTAGGGTGCGCGGGTCCCCGCGTCCCGGGCGACGGCGGCGATGGCGTTCCGGTGTCAGCGGGACAGCTACGCCCGCGAGGTGGGGCCGGCTGGGCGAGGGCGGATGGGGCGGTGCGGGAGGAGGGCGCCGCGTGGAGGGGGTGCCGAGGGAGACTCTGCCCCGGTAGCCTGAGGGCTGGGGTCGGGCTTCTTCTCTGTCCCTCTCCGTGCAGTTCACCACCACGGTGGTCTCCTGCCGCCCCGCCGAGCTGCAGACCGAAGGAAGCAACGGCAAGAAGGATGTGCTGAGTGGCTTCCATGTGGTGCTGGAAGACACGCTGCTTTTCCCTGAGGGCGGGGGACAGGTACCAGGCCCCCGCCTCACCCCGATCCCTTCCCAGGAAGCCCCTCATTCCTTTCCGCTCAGGTGGGAAATGCCCTCCTGCCCCTCTGCCCCAGCCGTGATGAACGCAGATGGAAGTTAGTTCAATTCAGGTCATTTGTTCACCCAACAGATATTTATCGGGCCATAACATATGCTGGGCACTTATTCCAGGGACTAAGGATAAGGGATGAACAAGGCAGCGTCTGTACATACGTAGAATACTTATGGGAGAAAATAGACAAAGTGGTGAGTAGATAAAATAGAATGCCCGGTATGGTAAGTGCTATGAAGAAAATTAAAGCTTGAGGGAAAGACAGTGCTGGGATGTTCTCCTAGGGAGGGGGCAAGTTATTTCAGTAGAGAGCTAGGTGAAGAGAGGGGGTAAGCCATTGCAGTTGCCAAATGGTGCTGGTGGGGAAGGGGGAAGTATTCCAGGCAGCGAGAAGAGCAAGTGCAAAGCGGTGAGGCATTAGCTTAGGGTGTTTGCCAGGGCCTGGAAAAGATCCCCCTGAAGGAGCACAGTGGAAGACAGGCTTATCTGTGCTGTGATGGGGTAGGGGCATGGTCCAGCGCGAACACGGGAAAGGAGGGTAATAGCAGCAAATTCCAGCAGGGAATAGTAGCACAAACCAAAGGCAGGGAAGCCTGAAGGAATCTGACCTGTCTAGTTAACTGCAAATAGTCCAGTGTAGTCGGAGCCTGTGGTGTGTGTTGATGGCAGGCTGGAAATGACCTTGGAAAGGTAAATTGGGGCCAGCGCAGAGGAACTTGAAGGATGTGTTAAGGTGTGTAGACTTCATTCAGGAAGCTGTGGTGAGGGGTTCCTGGGTGGCACAGTCTGTTAAGCGTTGGACTCTTGGTTTTGGCTCAGGTTGTGATCTCAGGGTCGTGAGATTGAGTCCTGCATTGGGCTCTGCGCTCAGCGCAGGGTCTGCTTGAGATTCTCTCTCTTCCTCTGCTCCTCTTACTCCTGCTCTTTCTCTCTCAAATAAAAAAAAAAAAAAAAATCTTAAAAAAAAAAAAAAAGAAGCTGT